TTAAGAATAAATTATTTTTAATATATTAATTACTCTTTGTTGTAAATTTTAAATTAAATTTTTTATTTTAAATTTAAATGTTACTATTTTCTGAAGTGTAAAAAATGAAAATAAATTTTCTATGATCGAATATGAAAAAATGTACATTTCAATGAATATTTAAAAATGATAAATCATTCGTGAAATCTATCGAAAAGTAATATTGTTAGAGGAATTTTGAGTATTAGTAAGTATTTTATTTTAAAAATAAATAATAGATTCCATAGCCAGCAAAAAAAATACATATCAATGTGATTCTTATAATTAAAACGAGGTTGTTGGCCGCAGCTTTTTATATGAAATCTAAATAAAAAAGTTTGTTACAAAAAGCTATGTGATCAATCATTACCAATTGCAGTCTATCGATAGTTGAGATAAAAGACTCTATTTACAAAAAAAAATTGATCTAACAAAACATAATATTTTAATAGCAAAGTTTTTAATTTTTTTGTTTACGTATTGAACTTTAATAAAATAGAAAAAAACTCCTTTATGGAAGTTAGTTTAATAAAAAAAAAAAAAAATGATTTAAATAATCCGCAATAATTCTTTCGATATTGGAGTCATGTATGGATGTGAAATTCTTTGTAAAAGTCCCGAGCAATAATTAAAAAGCATATTGTGGAAATTGGTTTCAACATTGCGGCGTTAGATATTACAGAAAGCTTCTTTCTCAGTTCTCTACACTCCTTCTACCTCAATTATTTGTATTATATTAAAAAAAAAAAAAGGAAGAAAATACAATAACCAAAATGAATTGCTTTAATTAAATTGACTCTATTCTGAAAATTGGTTTTATGCTTGGAAAAGCACTGACCGACTTCGATAATGTTTCTCTGCATTGCGAAATTACTACCTTTCTTGCTTGCATGCAAATATAAAATTAATTATGATTTTATCCTGATGCATATCACATATACTAATGTACACGACATCCTATGAAAGCTTGACAATTACCCACTATATTAATGCTCATGCATAGTTTCTTTTTTTTAACAATTCTCTATTACAACGCTGAATTACCATTTTTTGTGTGATTATTATTAACAATATTCTACCGAGTTAAATTTTTTATTAAATCATGCTTAATTGACGTTCAAAACCTAGTTTCCTTTAAAGAGATATTTTATAAAAGCACAATTTATAGCGAAAAAACTAATTCCGATCCAACATTGCAAAAAAAAAATTTCTTGTAGACAGACAGAGGAAAAAGACAAAGATTTATTTGATTAAAAGCAAACATCAATGTTACATTTTATGCTTGTTAATTGATTCTCAATTCAACATACCACAAATATATAAATGTTATCAAGTATTTAACAAACCTGAATAATATATATTTTAACTTTATAGTATTTTGTATGTACAATTGTTTCACTACATGTTTCATTTCCATATATTACAATGAAATAATTTTATAAAGAGTCAATTAATACAAAATAAAAGCAAATACGACCAATCCAATAACGAAAAAACAAAGTAAAGTAATAGTGAGTTGGCTAAAAAGAAAAATTAATAAAGAAAGGCCTCAAAGTAAATATACAAAAGTTTTAGTATTTCTTTTTATCCAGTCAGTCAAATTAGCGTTCCCTTGGTCGTAGTTAGCAGTGATTCAGTACGAATATCCACGGAATTAAAAAAGAAAAGATGAAACGAAACTGTGAACAGTAAGCTTGAGAAAACTCTCTTAAGTAAGTTCTTATAATTTCACATCGCTTGAGCGCCGATTGCAAAGACACTTGGAGTAAAATACATTGAGGTATTAAGTCCACGACCTCTTTCCCGGTGGTGGTTCAATGAAGTATCTTTAGCAAGACAGTTACTGAGAAGCGAATTCTCATCTTTTTCTTCATCCTTCTTGCTGTCGCTTCCGAACCATTACTGCTTTAATTCTATCTAGTTTTTCAAAGAAGAAATTGTCTGGTTCTTAACAAAATAAAGTATGTTGTCCTTTCATAATATCATCAAACATAGACATAAATGACGAAAGATAAAAGAAAGGAGAAATGTTCTTAAAAACTCCTGTAATTATTCTTAAATCAATTTCTTCGAGTTTGAGATTATAATAAAGTCATTATTATTTAAATTTCTTAGACTGTAAAATAAGCCTTTTTTTTCTTACTTGCTTACAGTGAGGGTATTTGGTTTATATGCTGCTCGAAATAATAAGTTATTATACTAATATAAGAGATAGCAAGAAAGTGAAGAAGAAAGAAGAAAACTTAAATAATAATGAATAAAAAAAATGATAAAAGACGTGGTAGTTAGCACTGAGAGCGCTAAATATCAATGCCTCGAGTGATTGTAGGAAGAAGTTAATTGAAAAGTTAAACAAACTCTGTCTCTTCGGAGCTGACGAAATCAAGAGAAAGTTTGATAGACTCTGACGGTGTATAAATAAGAGGCATCATCTTATCTGTGTACATCTCACCTTGAGTTTCAAAGTTGTAGATGGACATTTTATTTATTATCTTGTCTATTACCATATTTTTGAAAAATAAAATTCAAATTTATATTAACAATTAAATTAATTAATTTTTCTAATTGCTATTAGTTTAGAAAGAAAAAAAAAGTAGATTAAATATAAGACAGACACACCTTTTTTTCGTTATATCCTTTTGAATCCAACAATTCGTCGTTCCTTTATGGTAACGAATGAAGAAAATCCAGAGATTTTCGTTTTCACCGACAATCCAATCAGAAAACAGACAGTGATCCCAGTACCAATTGCAAGAAGCTCAGGAATCCTTATTGTAGAAACGATTAAGTGGAGATATCATTTCACAGGCGAATTTAATGTCAAGAGCGATGTCTGTTTTGTTAGCTAAAATAGTCTAAATTTATGTAATTGATAGAAAAAAACAAGATACAACTAAATAATTGTATGATAGTAAATAAAATGTTTATCTTCTAACAATTTCTTTATTTATTTATGTGATACAATATAATATTATTTCCTCTTTCGTATCTACATTCTTAAAAAAGAATATACTTGTATATACTTATGATTATATTATCATTCTTTCTTTATAAATTAATCATTATAACTAATTCTGATATTATTACAATATATTAAATTTTTTTATGATAAAACAAGATTTATCTCGTTTCATCTAAACATTATTTGTTTTTCTTCAGTATTTTATTCGTTTCTTTTTTGCATCTCTCTCATGTTATTCTTTTTTATTTTCACTTAAATTCCATCTGTTTCAGTTCAAAAGAGTTTGTATTAACAGAAAATTTTAATTTTTACTTTTATCCACTTGATTTTAATTAAATTTTTTCGTAAGTGATAACATTTGATTAAAAATGACAAAATTCATTGTTAATCGTATACAATATTGAATATTGCTGTAGAATTAGTCATTCATTTTTACTTTCAAACTCTCCACAATTATATAGATGATTAATTTAAGATAGAAACAAATGCATCAACTTTAGTTATTTCCTCTGTATATTTTTATATTCTTTTTTTATATCCTATTCTCACTCTATTTCTCGTGTCTTTTTTAACCTTAAAACTCTTTAGTTGTGAAATTTAGCTTCTTTTTTATGATCGCTAGTAACTAAATACTTTTCACACAAAAAAAGGGAGTCCATACGACCAAGGCAGGTGGAGTAAATGGAAGTATCTCATCGATCTAAATGGAGAAAATTTTGTCAGTGAAAATTTTCGAGGGACCAAGGTAACCACAACTGAACTATGCTTTTTCTCTTGTCATTTCCGTAAACTTGTTTTTTTTTTTTTTTGTTTTTGTTGTTTTTCATCAAAACTTTATTACAAAAAATTTGAAACACAACCACAGAGTTTCGGAACAGTCCTGAGGTTTTAATCATTCATGATGAAGAACTCTTGTGATTATTTACGATAAATAAAAAATTTAAATTACATACTGATTAATTTAATTTCCACTCTTTTATTTATGTACAACATGAGATAGATTTTTACAAACAAAGTATTAACGTTTTTCTTTATCTTGTTTTATAATAATTATTATTATTTTTTTTTATAATTTAAATGATATTTTTATTATGAAAAATAAAAGAAAATTTCGTATAATAAATATTTTAATTAAATTTCTATAACAATCAGCTGAAACTTTTTAATGTAATCATTTTTTTCTTTCCAAAGTTTTTATCCAATAAAACTTTCTTCAGTATATATATTTTATGATATTGAAACTGTCAGTTTATCGATAAATTCATTGTTGAAGAAATTACTCAGCTTTTTTCACAACTTAAGGATAATGAAGTCTGTAACGTAATTTGCTGTTATTTCAATAGAAACAATGAAAGAAATTGATCAATGAAAGACTTTTGATCGAAAGTTTGGCAATAAAACCGGAAAAAAATAAACGGTAATTCGTCAAGTAAAAAGTAATGTCCTGTAGTGAGGGATTCTAAGGTATAAGACTCTCTTTACTTAAGAAAAAGTTTTTCAATCGTACTCAAAGCACAAACCTAACGCTCCTCGTGTTCTATAAAAGTGTGTGAGTCTTTTGAAAGTTGCTATTGTTGATCTACAAAGTTACTTACTCACTTCCTGCTATACACGCCAAGTAAGACCGATATTTTCCGTACTTTGCGACATTTTCATAAGAACCTATAAATACTTTTTACGATGCTATTTCATAAATTGAAACAATACTTGACTAACTTTCCAGGAAAATTTTTTGAATATCATTAAATGTTTATCAGTTGTTTAATAAATAAATTCTTTAAGTTATTAATTAATTACTTATTGTTGTTGAATAAAACCATTGTAATTAATTTTTGTATGTTGATCAATATTATCAAGTAAAAAATTTCATATTACGGTTAGATTATGAATAAACTTTCACTCAGTCTTATTTCTTTGTTAGATTTAAAAAATATTTTTCGAAATCAACGAAACAAAGGGCAAACATATAGGAATAAAATAAAATGAATAAAAAAAAAAAAAACAAAAGAAGTAGAATAAAGGGGACAAAGTTTTTGAGATAAGTCAGAAAATAGTAGAGAAAAGGAAAAACGATCAATACAGATGAATTCAGACTCCAAAAGAAAAATTGACTGGAGTTTGCATTTGAAATAAGTGGTTATGCTCAACTGAGCGCAAAGTTTTATACGAAATTTATCGTCTTCCGAGGACGAATGCCCAGAATCTCGTAAAACATCCGGCTTTCAGTCTTCAAATGCGATACATTCGATATTAAATGTGTAAGTATCTATCGTAAAAAAAAGTTATTTACTACAGAAATTTTGACAATTACAATATTCATTGTAGGTAATTATTCATAAATTGAACATCGTCAATGATGGAAAAAATATTATTATAAACAGTTCATTGAATATTGTCGTAGAAGCAAATATACATGTACAAAAAAAAATGATTGCGAAGAAGAAATTACTCAGCAAAGTCGTTACTTGATCATCTTTATTTTTTTAATGAAAATAATAAAGTAACATACTTGATGATCGGTAAAAAATAATATTTTTATGTTGGAAGAGAGTTTAAGGTTGAAAGGGTATTTTTTCTCTCATTATCTCAATTAATGAACCTTCTTCGAATCACATTGACTTCATAATCGCATGAACGCCCTTATACCCTGTAGAACTTTACGAAACTTATTGACTAGATAAATTCTACTAACAATATTACATATTCCCTATGAACTATCTGGTTATCAGATTGCATTCCTTAGTATTTTACAGTTTTTATTCACATGTTCATTATTCATTCATGCTTATAAATTTTTTCCATACATTTAATTCACTATTTCATAAAATCCATGTACGACTCATTATTTCAAGGATCATGATTTAATGCTATTCATTTATTCGTACAGATTTGTTCATATTCATTATCCATTTATTTAGTAGCTTAGCCATTTCTACACAATTTATGCAAACTAAATTAACCTCATTTTCACATATAATGCTCATAGAAATAAAAAACTTATTACTCATACAAACTCACGGTTAATTCTTATTCACATTCGCTCTATAGTCTGACACAATAGTTATTATCAAAGTTTTCCCAAATATTCAACTTCATTTTTCTTTTAAAACACGAAGAAATTGTCAAGTGATAAATATATTATTCTGTCACTTGTACAACTTCCAAGATATTGCTTGGATAAATTTACCAAGCATTAAATTAAACTGACACTCATAAACTTTAATAAATTGTTATCTGAAAATTTTAATTTGAGCATATTTTTAACACTAATTATATTTTCTTTGTCATTTTATTTATGAAATTTATACACTCATTTTTCTTTGGAAAGTTTAAAAATGATGAATGGTCCATTAGTCCTAAAAAATGGATCCTTTGGTGATGACACGATTCATGAAAAAAACACTAATACTTTATTGAGCACTCGTGAACTCGATAGCATGCGTTGACGAATAGTCTATCGTTCTTAGAAATCCAATCAAGCATTGTGCCAAGAGAATAAAAAGTCAAGAGGCAAGGCGTCACAGATAGGAGAGAGAAATGACTATACAGAATGGCAAAAGGACAGTAAATGGTGAAGAGTCACGTCGACGTTCTTGAGAGTTCTGCCAAGCCTATCGAGCTCTCTTGCTTGCTACCCTTAACGGAAAGTCTTGGCATTTTGGTTGCTCGTAAACGACGCTGCGGGAATACACATGACTACCGTAACGTCGGATCGATGACGTGCCTGTTCTACTTATTTGCACACATTCTCTTCCTCAACATTCCCTCATTCAACCACACGACATTACGAGAACTGACATTCAACAGTAGAACTAGCCACACGTGGCATCCTCGTTGATGTGGTGGTTGAGCAACTGACATCCAAGTGATTTCCTTTAGTAGCATTTCCTTCATTGAAATCCGGTAAATGTTTTTTTTTTCTTCTTTCAATAATTCTTCGTGACACGTGAGCTTACTGGAATCCCTAGCATTAAAATTTATTTTCAATTGCCTCACGACTGACTTTCTTCATCACGCTGCCCAGGCATTGCTCCTCAGACATCCAAAGCATCCCCAACATAACCCTCGTCAGGACTCTCCGGATGATCCGGCGGACGTGCACCCTCTGCTCGAGCAGCCACAGCTGCAGCAGCTTCTCGAGCTGTTTTACTCATCAGTGATCGTGGAGACAATGGCGTTGATTCGCCTCTGTATGCTGCTGGGGGTGATGGAATGAATGGAACCTCTGGTGGCAATGCAATCCCTGGAGAAAGCGGCGAGATAACTGGTGGAATTTGCAACGGCTGTCTCACAGGAGATGTGATGGGTTGGTGAGATATTGGATATGGATATCCATCTACAGTGTACCGAGTGTCTGGTCTTGACAGCAGTGTAGATTCATACACACTAGACCGCGCCAGGAATTCAGCTTCGCGAGTAAAACGTGCCACAGGCGTAGCTGCTGAGCCTTCAGTAGGTCTTTGCCTCAATCTAGGCAGTGTGCAGTTAGCATTGTACGGGATCTTGGGCAAGCCAAAATTGAGCGGATAGCCGTCTTGATCGAGATAACTCAGCTGCGAAAGACCAGCTCGTGAATCTATCGTTGGTTGTAACGAATATCTAGTTTCTCCATAGTCCAAAACTTGACGTGATTCAGTCAGTTGATGTTGGTATAAATTATAACTTTCTGCAGTAGTCTCTGGAGGATTTGTTGTTGGATAAACCTCGTTAATCAAGTCAGGTTCGGTTAGGTATTTGGAAACAGGGTTTCTGTAAGCATCAACAGTCTCTCGACGATCTAAAGAAGACGTCCTTACTACCTCACGTCGTGTACACATCACCTGCTGCTGATGATCGAAATTCAAATTTCCAGAGTCAGTCTTTCCCGAAAGGGTCTCAGTGTCCTTAACTACTGGTGACACAACTTTACTTTGAGATGCTAAGGTCTTGGAGTTTCTCTTCTGGTCTCGACGGCGTTTTGTACAGAATATGACGCTACCAATCACACAACTGAGGGCTAGCAAAGTACCCACCAATGCACCCGCTGCAACCGCTGCAACATAACCTGTACCTGGGTTATCGAAAGCTGGTTCTACTGTACTTCTCTCAAGTAACCGCACTCTAAGGGATAGGTTCGCCTCTGTGGAACCTGCGGTATTCTCGGCGATACAGGTGAATGTACCCTCGTTACTTTTATCAGCTCCGTAGATATAAAGGATGCTTGTCACGTTGTGTTGACCACGTTGTTTACAAAAGTATCTGCAACAAACCATCAATTCCAACAGTTTTTTTTTATTGTTTTAAAGCAGATAGTTGGTGTTAAAAAAGCCACTTTCAATTTTGTTTTATTCTAGTCAAACGATTAAATTCTATTGTCAAAAGTTTCACATCACTTTGATTTTTATTGACTCTCGATTCTCATCGCTCTTTTTGGAGCCTTCATCAACCTCAATCAATGTTTTAAGAGTTTAAATAATTAAAAAAAAAACAAAATATTTAATTTCGATCCAATGAAATATGAAACTGTTTTTATTTGTTAACTTTCCAATTTTCTTTATCGTTTCAATTATTTTTATATTTATTAACAAGAATAAATTACGAGTAAATTTAGATTGTGAAAAAAAGTAAGGGTGTAATTGGAAAAAAGTTAACATTTTAGCTAATTAGTAAAAAATAATATCAAAAAGTTATTTAATTGTGAAAATAGCTAGGCTAAGTTACTGATTTCTTATCCTTGCAGAAGAAAAGAATTTAAAAAAAAAAGAGTTGAAATAGCCAGCAGCAAAACTCAGTTAGACGCTTCTTTGTGATAAGAAATGAAGGAAATATAAGAACGAAAAGCTTTTTATTCTACCCGGACGAAGCATTTAATGGTTGCACTGAAGCGGTCATGACTAAAGACTGTGGTGTGCGCTGAGCTAACGGAACATCTTATTCTTGAAGCTACTTCAGAAAAAAATCACGTCGAAAAAAGTGCCTAATGTTTCTCTCGTTCTATTTCTCGACTTTAAAGTGGTAAAAGACAAAGAACATTTTACAAACTTACCGATTCAATTTTCCATTGGGACTTGCAATTCTCAAGAGAAGATCGAATAGACTCTAATGTCAGTCATAATGAATAGAAACTTGAAGACCCGAAGGATTGAACGATATTTTATCGGACCAATGCTGACAGAATTTAAATTAAGTCATCGGTATAATTTCAACTATATTAGTTTTAAAGTCGGAAAGAAAATGAAACTTAATATTTTAAGTAGAATTAATTGACTTATCAATAATAATAAAACTCTTCTCGCAAGTCAATGTGATTACTTAAGAAGAAAAGATGATTTGTATTGAAACGGAAATAAATTTATCATCCAAGATTTCTTGGTGAGATAATTTTTCATCTTTATTGAGCTTTCATTCGTTCGCGCACCGCAAGTGGTGATAATTTTTTTTCTTCGGCTTTTGTTTTGAGATATTTGAACGGCAACAAGAATAATGATTTCAACGTGTTATGTGAAATTCATCCAAACGTATTAAATTCCACTTCACGTACAACACTCAAATAAAAGAGCTTACCTGACATAAGATATCGATGAGGCGGTGAATGAATCATTCTCATTTTGTGATTCACACTTTTCACCGTTGATCCACCAATTAACAGTTGCCATGGGCACTGCATAGACATCACACTTGAGTGTAGTATTTGCGTTTTCATCGATCTCCAGTTGTTCATCAACTTTTACCTCAGGCAGACAGGCAAGATCATCAACTCTGACCTGTTTAATCTGCTTGTCTTGTAACCGTGATGGTGCTTGACACACGGGTTCTGACTCTTGAGGTGCTGCAGGCGCTGATTCTTTTAACCACGCCTGCATAGCACGTAGTCGACAATCACAGAGCCAGGGGTTATTGTGAAGTGTAAGACCATGTAGATTACCACCCAAAGGCAGAGTCATTTCAGGCACATAGGTAAGCTGATTACCATCCAATCTTAACCACTCAAGCGACTGAAGACCATTAAAGGCATGCTGATCGATGCTCTCAACTTGACACTCACTAATTTCTAATGTTGTTAATTGTGACAATGGCTTAAAAGCATCTTTCTTTATTCTATGTATCGGATTTTTATTTAATATTAATCTCATAAGTCCTGTATACGATGTGAATGTATCTGAAGGTACCTCTTGAATTTGGTTTCCATTGAGATCAAGATCAACTAGACCACTTAGCCCTACAAAAGCACTTGAAGCTATTTCACTGATGTTTGATTTTCCTAAATAGAGTTTCTGCAAATTGGTCAGACCCAGAGAATGGAAGCAGTCTGATGGCAGTTTTACGAGATGATTGCCTGTCAGATCCAACACCTGCGTCTCTTCACGTGCTCCCTGGGGCAAACGGGTCAGACCTCGATTCGCACACTCCACCCATTCTTTGCCACCTTTCCACTTGCAAGAACAGATCGAAGGACATGATGTCACCATTGTTGTCATTGTTTCCGCGAGAAGGGCAATTGACAACCACCATCTCACGTTGAAACGCATTGTGATTCATTGAATAAAAACAAAATTAATTCCATTCAGGCATTTTTTATCTTCTAGATCTTATTCTCTTTCCTCATTCAGTTCCTTTTTTTAACGTACTTTTCTTTTATTTCATATCCTCTTTTTGTACTCGCCGTCTACAATATCGTTTTCTTCGTATTATTTTCGACACTGATAGATCTGAGAACTACACCCTCCTCCTATGTCAGTCTCGTCTCGTACGAATCCAGTTCATCTTTTTCTCCCTCTAATGTTGCAACAGGGCTCATTCCAAGTAAATTGATTCCCTCGACCATCGACAATCTCCCCCGCTTATCTGTACACCAACCGCAGATCTGAAAGCAAAAAATTGATGACTTTCAGTATAACTGAAGATTTATTTATGGCAGGGTTTTCTTGAAAGATACATTCTAAGTGAGAAGAAAAACTTTAATAACCTTCATAGTGTTCAAATATTTATTTTTCTATCATTTAAACTTGAATATATATATATATATATATATGTACCCATTCGAGTTACTGGAGTAACAAAAAAATATATCCAATAAAATTATTTATAAATATTTTTTCCTTAAAAATTTACACTTGGAATAGATAATAATAAAGATTAAACTACCGAGGAGAAATATCATATTAAAATGAGACTTATAAAAAGTTTGATACAAAAACAAAAACTAAAAAGATCTAGCTTTGTAATGCTAGGTCAAGAGTGATACATATTTCCCTATGTCCTCATAGCTTGTTTCTTCTTTTCTCTCTTTTCCTTTCGCCAAGTACCTACCAATGCAACCCGACATTAATCATGCCAAATAATCTCCGTGTGCCCAGAAAGATTTCTTCCTCTCTCACGCTCATGCAAAAGCTCAACGAAGAAAAAATTCCTCTGGGAAAATGCAACAAGGAACTTTTATAAAAATGAAAAATAATTTGCAATGTTACTTTTTCTCCACGTAACTATAGAGAAGCTTTTTTTTTCTAACTGGTGAATAGAGAAGCCAAAAAAATGCCACCTAACTCAACAAATAAATTAATAGAACAATATAAAAATAAATAAATGATTCAAGTATACTTATTATATCACTGTTATGACATATTTACTTTTTAACTAGAATTTCATGAATATAAAAAATTTTTCTCGGGTTAAAAAATTTCAAGAATATTTTTAGACGAAGAATAATTATTTCAACAGTCTCGTATCTTTTGTAAAAGATGCTCTGACTATATTACGCGTTAAATATTCGTCTCCGTCGTCTTTATATATCAAGCCCTTTTCACATCTTGTCTAGCTGTCTAGAAAATGAACTCGAAGGTCGCCATGAATTCTAGAGAAGCGGCTTTACAGTCTAGTCTCAACCCTATGAAAGAGTCTTCTGGTGGTTATAAAAAGATAACACCGATGCATTTTTTAATCACAGAAAGTTCTATGGTGTAAGAAAACTGCTATAAGAACCATCAATATTCATATAAAAACGTAGATAGACTCAGTCAGTAAGACAATTCAGGAATAAACACGCAGTAAATTCAACGTAAAATAACTAAAACTGCCTTACTACCAACACACCATATTACTATACGTACTTGGAAAATATAAAGCGTCGGCTTGCCACCGAGACTTTTCATAAAACTCCAAAGAAATTATTACATATACCTTTCAGACACGTTAGTCGTTATTTTAACTGCCATGAGAGAGCAATTTCCTTTATTTATTATCATAAAAAATAATGGAAAGTACCTACATTTATATAATTATAATAATTTCGAATTCATTGTTTCATTTTATACAAATACTGTATTACAATTGTAAATATATTCACTCATTTTGAGTAATAAAAACTGAATAAAATAAAATTAATATCAAGTTCATTTTCAAAAGATAATACTCCATATTACAACTGTCATCTTAAAATTTATTGATATTATGTAGAATGAAATTTCGTACGAAGTAAATGAAATTTTTCATGCATTCTAATGTTTGAACTATTAATAAAGTTAATGGAGAACAAATGACTATCCACAGATTTCAATATATTGTATGGTTAGTAAATTATTATATTAATCATCAATCTAATTCTAGGCCAAAATATAATAATCATAATATATCATATTAAATAGATGAATGGAAACAATAGACCATTATTTGAAAATCAAAAATAGATTTTTGTTCATTTTAGCACAGAAAGTATTTCAATAAGCTTTTTTTTCAAAATGTATGAATATAATAAATATGTAAGGAGGCTTATTGTCTGATAATACGTCAAGTCTTTATTGTAAAATTTCTTGTCGTGACGTGAACTGCATAGAAAATGACTTTTGACATACAAAACAAGGTTCAAATAACCGATATTTGGTATTCAAAACGTTCCTCGTCGGTTACCGATATATTTTATCGCCCTTCGTCTAATAAATGTCGTATTTGATCAATTGTTTCCGCATTTACGCACTTACTCATGGATGATGCCGACCCGGAAATTGGCCTAAATAAAAAGCTATGAAAAATCTGTCAAGAAGGTAATCTTTACTCTGCTCCGACGAACCATAAAATTACCAAACCCTCGTTGGTGCCTTGGAATCGATTAGTCAACCACGTCGTAGATAAGTTGACCTTGTTGGAGAGGAAATTATCCAACCTTTTGTACATAATTCAATAAATAATGATGATGTGCTTCCGATAGCTTTATTAATTAAATTAAAATAAAGAAATGATATTGAGAGTATAAGAAAAAATATTATCCAAATTAAGATTTAATTTGATTAAATTTTAATATGAACTAGTGAATGAAAATGTCGTCTTAAATGCAACATTAACGCTTGCATTTCTCTTCAGTATTTTGGACTTTGAACTCTGTGACATCAAGTGCTTTCTCGTTAATTTCTTCGTTCGTAAACGCAAATGGATATACCGTGGCACAAAAGTATTCACCATCAGAAAATTCAATTTACTGGATAAGATGAGAGACAGAAGGAAGAAACGAAATGAAAAAGATGAACTGGAGATGCTTGGTAAAGGATTAATTTAATTTGTTTCTAGTGCTTTTACCCATCATCTGCAACTTAAAAATACTTTACTAAATTATATACCATCTACTTTCCTTTAACGACATATTTGATTTTATATTTTATCTTTTCAAGCTTTATTATTGTTCAAATCATTTCAATAAAATGTCAATAAATTTGATGTACTCGAAAACAAAATGAAAAGATGTCAACGTTTATTTTAGAATCAAAAATAAATATAATATGACTTTTTCTTTCCTATCTCTGTAGTAAGTAAAATTACTGAAACATTTTAGTTAGATTTACTGCATCATGATGATTCCTCTATCTGTCCTCAATCTTTTTCACTGGTATCATTCAACCCTCTCATTTTTCCACGCATGAGTTACTGTGTTTAAAGAGTGACAAAAAGGAATAAAATGGAAGGAAAAAAACGATGATAACATCTTCAAAGACATTACGATGGTATTACATGGATTTCCTGCAAGATACCTCAAAGAATGATAAATTATCTGTGACCGTAAAGCTTATACTAACAGCTTCTTTTGTATGCTTTTTAATGAAACTATTCGTTGTGAGATTTTTTGCAACATTTTTTTTCCAAAAAAAAAAAAAAAATACATTAAAAGGAAATCATTGAATTTTGCTCACATATAAATTCAATGAAAGAGTTTTTTCAAAAAGTCTATTTCACATATTCAATATTTATTGATTTGACGAAAATCAAACGACTATTATTTTACCTAACATGTAATATCTGATGGCAGAAAGTTATCACTGATCAAATGATAACGTCCGTTAAATATTAATTGTATAATTGATTCCTTCAATATAAATTGTTACTCCAACTAAATATGTTTATAAAATTTGATTTTGTATTGACAAGTTTAATTTTGTCAATACTCAAGAGAGATAATGATAACGAATTGTTTAAAAATAATAAATTATTGACTGAGTCAATCCAGGTGATATTTTCATAACTAAAAATAGCTATCAAATAATTCAATATAATCCGCGAATAAAAATAGTTATTTGCTCCATAACCTATTTATTTAACAACAACTTAATGATTGCTTATCAATAGATTTTAATTTAATTATTAAAAGTGAGAGCCAAAAAAATATTATTGAAACGAAAAAAAAAAATTCTTAAAAAGTAAATAGACTTTGTAGCTGTAGTTGGTGAATGAATAGAGAATGATCATATGGTAGAGTCAATCTGGAATTAAGCAAGAGATGGTTATATGAACATGGGAGTTTATGTTAATTGTTGTCAATTAACAGGAACCAGGTCGATAATCCTTCCATCTGCAACGCAGTAAATTTCACGTAATGAATGATCAAGTTGCAGCTCCACGCGTATTTATATGTTTTGTATATGTGTATTGGAATATAATTTGAATGCGCGAGATTTAACACGAGGAAAGCCCAAAAGCTCATCTCTGACACAATACACGACAGTCAAAATTTCAAATTTGATGTTATGGTCTCCCCTACTGTCTACAGCTAGATAATGAGTAGGATTAAATTATATTCCTCCAAGTATATAATGTCAGAAAATGATGTTTTAACACATTCCGCATATATATCTATATATATTTTCCTATATTGGTGTCAGAATAACCAGCTTGAAGCTGTTAAATTACTCCTACCTGCATCAGACACACCATCATGGTCATATTATAAATGTCATGTTACTTTGCCGAATCTGATTTTATTATTTAACAGTAATATTTCACTTTCCACTTAAATTTAATAATTCTATAGTTTACTGTCTGCTGAAATGACTGATTAAACTATTTCATGAAAGTTACAAAACGTGTCAGTTGGAATAACTTGATTGAAATGAAATTTTTAAATACATTATCGATTAATTTGACAATTTTTCATGAAAAGCAGGTTTTAAATTTAGATTAATTTAATTATTAAATTTAAAACTTTATTAACTAAACGAGAACAAAGTAAAAACAACCAAAATAATTGGAGAAAAAAAAAATGGCAACTGTGAGTATAAAAAAATTGGAGGAAAAAGCTTCAATTTTAGTAGTCAATTTTACATGAAAAGTTGGATGAAAAACAAATTTGTGATGTTAAAATAAAAATAACAAGTGAAGGATAACTTGATTACCAAACTTATCAATAAAACAGTAATTGACTGAACTTGCTATTAATTCTTTTGCAAACTGAATAAACGTTTTTAGTTAGATGAAAATTTTTATTTCACTTCATTGGAAAAAATTTTTAAATTACTTTTAATGAATTTTCAGGAATAAAAATACAACATAAAACTTAAAAAAAAAAAACAAATAATCGAAATTCAATTAACGTTAAATGTCAATATT